GTTCTGCACAACAGTCCACACAGACGCACTTTGGAAGGGGGAGAAGGTTGGGAGAGATTGGGAAGGTCACTGGAACCAGTGACGCTGACAAAACTGGACAAAGGGAGATGACGGGTGAGGAGGAACGTGGGGTGTTGGAGGGAGAGCTTGGGTTCACAGGAGTGTATGATGTGCCTCTCCTTCTTGTTCCCTTGCAGAATGTTCAGTAAAATCTACATGGCTCCGTCATGCTTTATGGCATTGGATTTGCTTTTGGAGGGGAAGGTGCAAAAAAGGGGGTGGAGGAAAACAGAGCATCCCCATAGAATTCGTTACCTTGAGATCACACCTGTATCCTTAGTGACCACCTAGGATACAAGTGTGGCCATGGGCACGGGCAAGGCTCTCTTCCTTTTCGGGCTTCGGAGTCCAGTGTGCCACGCACCTCCATAAAGGGCAGCTGAGTGAGCAGAGGCACGCCAGGTCCGTCAAAGCAGGAGCTGCGAGTGTCTGCACCAGTTTCCACACAGATGCACTTTGGAAGGGGGAGAAGGTCGGGAGCCTGCGGCAGCCTCCCCCACCTCCCAGGAACCTAGATGGCTTTAAGATCAACTGGGGCTTTGAGGATTTATTCATTCCTCTCTGATCTGCCTTGACTGACCCTGGTCAGGATCCCAGCCAGCCTGAAACAAACCCAACCCTGAAAAGGAAAACAGGAGAAGAAAATAACAGCAGCACCTTCTTCTAAAGCCCTGTCTAGCGCTGATAGGGCTGCCGAGATAAGAGGAAATTGTATTGAAGCAAGACTTCTCTGACTGGGAATGCTTTAGATGCGGAGATAAGCCCCCAACGCCTCCCAACACACACACACACACACACACACACACACACACACACACACACACACACCAGCCCTCCGGAGATGTGCCCCACCACGCTCTGCTGGGGGACAGGCAGCTAAGACCACAAGGGGAAAGAATTCCAAAATGATACATGTCGAATTGCTGGCCTGGACTCCGAATGCCATAGATAGTTTATGCAAAGTCTCACACTGTTGTAAAATGTAACACAATCCACTGGCAGGCCTGCCTAAGTTTGGTCCCAGTTGTTTTTTGAGAAAAATAAATAAACTTGAAAATGTCTTCCATCCCATGAATGTGACTGTGTTTTTTAACGGTGGTCCCTTGGTATTAGGCTCCTAGAGATCTGAATGCCTGAAGCTCCTAGAAGCCATCACTTAATCCCTGGGACTTGACTCTCCATAGGAAGTTACCTGTGACAGTCAGGAAACCAATACTGCATTTCCAGGACCCACTGATGCCTCAGGAGCCGTGAGGGAAACTTTGGCGACAAACATGTTTCAATAATTTTCAGTGTTTTAAAGCATTAAAGCTCTTTTTGTAAATGAAACTTTCAAGGCGGCTTGACATCTAAAACAGATGATGCTCAGATGATGGCCTGGTTGAAACGGTGGAGCAGAAACTAAGTAGCCCCCCCTCCCCATCCTGAACCCCAAGCTGACACCTCTAGGGAACCCTAGGAATTCATAGGTGATACCTTGCAGTCCTATGATGCCATCCAGTATTCAACTGTGAAAGATAAACCCCAGGTTCAAAGGGGTGAGATAACTAGTCCTAGTCCACAAATATACATCAGATGTTGGGGAGCCTGGACCAGAACCAAGTCTCCCTAATCCAATAGCCAGCTCACCATTGCAAAGCTCTTGAGTGACAATGTGATTCTCCAAAGTTGGTTAAGCAACTTTCTTCCTTTCTCTGAGGTCTCAAGGATGAGTTGATGAAGATGTTAACGTTAAGAGAAATTAGATGAAGGGTCTAGGGAACTCCCGGTATTATCTTTGCAACTTTTCTTACTCCAAAACAAAAAGGTTATATATTTTTAAAGATATAACCTTTTTAAAAAAATTAGTTTCAGAGAGGAAGGGAGAGGAAGAGAGAGAAACATCAATGATGAGAGAGAATCACTCATAGTCTGCTTCCTGCACGCCTCCTACTGGGGATCGAGCCTGCAACCTGGGCATGTGCCCCTGACTGGAATCAAACCTGGGATCCTTCAGTCCGCAGGCTGACGCTTTATCCACTGAGTCAAACCAGCTAGGGTAAAAAAGGTGTGGGGTTTTTTAAAAAAAGCATTAATGTTTGCAATTATAGATTACAGTGCAGCCAAGTATTTTTATCTTGCCTTTGATTAGTGAATTTGGTGTAGAACTTCTCCACTCCATTTTTTAATTCTTCTGTTCTCATCTATATGAATCCCTGGGTATAATCTTGTTTTGTGTGATTTTAATAAATGGTATCAAAATGTACTGACCACTTAGGTCTTGTTCTTTTTAATCTACTCAGTGTTATGTTTTTGCGATCTTTCCAAGTTGATGTCTGTGAACTCACAAGTAGGGATTCCATTTTCCTTGGCCAGGACCCATACTAAGCAGGTGTGAAATATTGTTAGCATCATCCCTGTATATGAATAAAATTCAGTCCTCTTAATATACTTTTGCTCATAGAATCCTATCACATAAATATGTCATTTTATGCATCCCTTCCCTAACAGATGAACAGACGAACTATTTCCAATCTGTTGCTACTGTAGATATTGATGGAATGGATATCCTTCATCCTTGAATATCTTGATCCTCTCCAGGTCAGCCTTACTTCTTAGATGAGCAGACTGATATCTGCAGATGTGGAATGACAAACCTAAATTCCTAGGGAGGTTTGGAGAGAGGAGCCACTTTCAAGCTCAGAGGAAAACACTAATTTGGGATGACCTGCTCATGTTCTGACCAATCACAAGAACAGCTCAGCTCTTTCTGTCCTTCTCCATCATAGCCCTCACCTGCTCTGCAGTTTACAGTTATGTGTGTCTATGCGATTACCTGATGAACATCTGCACACATTGCCACTCTTGAGCTCCTCACTATCTGTCTTGTCCACTTGTTGTCTCACAGTGCTTGGTAAAGAGCACTGACTCAATAAATATCTGAATGTATGAATGAACCAATGAATGACATGACATTTGGATACACACAAAGCCCCTAAGTTTGAAGAATTCTGCTGGTCTACACCTTTCTGTTTCTTTTAACACCAAGTTGGTATATCTGTCATTGAGAATGAATGCGTGTGTATGTGTGGATATATGTTTACTTATATGCATTTGAAGTAGTGGAGCTGATTTTCTTTGGGGAAAGCAAATGTTCATACGATCGCAGTCTTGCTCTGTTGTATGTAGCCCTGAGCACAGTTTTCAGATTTATTCTGAAGTGTGCTCTGCTTGATGTTCAAGAGTCTACAAGATCCAACCCTGCAGCCTGTCTTTTCTGCCGCTTTCCCCCAGCGCAGATACCAGGCAGCTGACCACAGCTTAGCCCTTCTGGATGCCTGCTGTCCTCTGAGCCTGAGCCTCTGGTTCTGTTCCCTCTACCTGCCATGCCCTTCCACTTATCTCTACCCTGTTCATACCCAACTCAAATATCAACTCCTCTAGGATGTGTGCTCCCATGAGAATGACTGTCAACTCCACCATCACTGGCATTGAGGGTTTCCTCCTCTGCGTGAGAATGTGGGCTCCCGGGGTAGACTCTTGCTTGTCTCTTCATCCCTGATTCTTCCTGCAAATGCCAAGGACAAAATATGTAGATAGCAAAGGTTTATCAATTTGAATTTAAGTCAATCTCTGCCACTCTCTACAACACTTGTGTGTCTTTCTCTTTTCCCAGGTGTGTCGGACCAAGGTGATTGATCTCAGTGAAGGCATCTCCCAACACGCCTGGTATCCTTGCACCATCAGCTACCCCTACTCCCAGCTGACCCAGACCACGTTCTGGCTCCGGGTAAGCCAGTGCTTGAAGAGCCCTGGATGCTCCAGCGGCCCCAGGAAGCTCTGCCTCCCACAACCCTTTCTTAGGATGGTTTGTCTATCCATTGAGGATGCTCATTGTAAGGACAGGGGACAAAACACTGATCGGTGAGATGCTCCTGGAAATGGAATCCCTTAATTGCTTGTGAAATACCCCCCAGTCATTCTTGTCTTGGCAGAATTTGGATACTTTTGTCTGCCTGAAACCGCCTATTCATTGTTCAAGACTTTTAAAAATTGTCTTCTCTCCCCTGAAGTCTGTACTGATCCCCCAAGAGAAAAGTGGCTGTTCTCTCTCCTCTAGTCCTGTACATGGTTGGTTGGTCAGCTGTTGATGGCACTTGTCACATGGTGCCATCCCCCTAAGGACTGTGGATTGCACTGAATTTTGATTTGCATGCCATTGACCTATATTGAACCTCATAGTCTGCAGAAGTGCATGGGCCATGTCTTACTTAGCTTTGTCTCCTCAGTGCCTAGTACAGAGGTTAGCATGGAGGAATGACAAACAGTAACAATACCATTTTTTGTGGTTTTAGTATGTGCCAAACACTTTGCTCCCATCACCTTATTGAGCCTAACAGCCACCCGGTGATATGGGTCTTCACTTTATCCACCACTTGAGGGGAGGGACCGCAGGCCTAGAGCGGCACAGCCAGCACTGATGGACAGGCGCGTCTCGGAGGGAGCAGAGCCAAGATCGGAGCAGAGTTTCTGATCTCAGAGCCTGTGCTGTTCACTGGGAGGCTCTATTGCCCCTCCATTCCCGTTACAGAGCCACAACGAGTAATCCAGTTCCTGAAGCAGGAGGTTCTCCCTGAGACCCCCTCCTCCCCATCCTGTGGCTGCTTCCCCACCAGGGGAAGGGGCATGCATGACTCTCTGATGTCACGTGTGTTTCAGGCATACTTTTCTCAGCCAATGGTTGCTGCAGCTGTTATTGTCCACCTGGTGACCGATGGGACCTACTATGGGGACCAAAAGCAGGAAACCATCAGCGTCCAGCTGCTTGACACCAAAGAGCAGAGCCACGATCTAGGTGAGCATGTTCTCTCGGGCCTGGCTGGCTCTGGGTACCTGGTTCCACCTTTGCCCAGCGTGGTCCTGAGGGTTGGCTGAGAAGGCCTCTTCCTTCCCCTCTCTTCTTCGTTCTCTCGCTGGCATTCTTATTGCCGTCAAGTCAGGATGTGCTTATGGGTCTAGAGAAGCCTGACTGACAGGTTCAGGGGTGAGGGATCACTGTGGAAGTCCTCCCTTCAGTGGCTGCCTTCTGCCAGCCACCCGTAACTAAGCATCCCTGATGGTCCTCCAAAGGCCCAGGGAAGGAACCTACCTACGTAAGGCCCTTTCCCACTGTCCGCTGTAGCACCTGAGGCCCAGGGAGCCCAGGCTGCAGGACAGCGGCTTTTTACCCTATAGCCAGAGGTCCTGGGAATGACCCCAAAGTGCCAGCTGTGTGTCCAGTGTGAGCTCCAGACTTTCCCATGGGAGTAAGATCAGGAACGGTCCGATGCAGGTCTAGGAAGGCAGGGGAGGAGTCAGCTGCCCCAGAACACGGGCTGCAGTTGGCACTTGTGCCACCTGCCTCAGCATACCCACAGGAGCCATGGACATAGAGCTGATGGGCCAGGTTAGAATCCATCCCCACCACTCGCGCGCCTGGAATATGGGAGCCGTTTTCTCCATCTCTCCGTGCCTCATTAAGAGCTCTGGGGCAATGATGCCATTGTGCAGTCAGAGCGATGTAGGGAATAAGCGAGGCTTGAGACTGTAGGGCTGTGCCTAGCATGACACCTGCCCCCAGGAAGTGCTGTTACCTGCTCCCATGTTTCCGACACAGCCATCCCGGGCGGGTGGAATCCCGGGCCAGCACCACAGTCCAGGCATCAAAGCCATGCCCACACACTCCAGAGGGAGCTCATTTCAAAGACCCCGAGATTGCAAACCGGTGACAGGTCATTCTGGGGTCAAGCAGCAGCCCAGGGAGCAGCGAGGGCTTTTCGGTTTTGTGTTGATGTTTACTTATTTAGTTAGTTTCAAAGGCAAGGGGGAACATCCTAATAAGGAATAGAAAGAAAACCCCTCTGGACTTATCTGGATTCCTGGTAAATTTCCCTAAGTGGGAAGTAAATATTTTCATAGCTGTCCTGGCAGAGCGCACCACGGCCGGGCTCCGAGCGGAGGGTTTCAGCAGAGCGGGGCAGGTCTGGTTCCCAGGGAGCTCTTACGTCCTGCTACCTGATGCCGGGGACTTTCACGTGCCACCGTCCCTCCCGCCAGCCCGTCCTCCATCCTCAGCACCCTGACTTCCCCTTCAGATGCTTCCCAGCTCTAAGAGAATGGACCACCAAAGGGGGAGAGGCTTCATGCCCCCACCTAGCAGGCCTACCCAGCGTGGTTGGGATCATTCCATTTTCTAGATACGGAAACTGAGTGTTGGGGTTTATTGGAGTCACATAATAAGGAAGTGGCTAAAGCAAGACTTGAACCAAGTTCCAACAACGCCAAAGCCACCCACTGCATCCCGCCCATCACTCCCATCTTCTGTATGCACACCTCTGACTGCCCCTCTGCCTGCCCTCCTGAATCTGGGGACCTGCTCCCGGTTCTTTTGAGGGTTCTGGAGTGAGGCCAGCTTGCATGCTACTTGGGCTGTATGTTGCTGGCTGCTCTGTGGCCCTCTGGAAGGCCACTTCCTGCCCAGGGTTCTCAGTCTCCTGTCCACAGGATGGTTACAGAGGCCCTCACCTAGTACTACCGCAATGGCCTACAGTGGTGAAATTGTTTCTGGGAAGGCAGCCTGAACACTGGCAGTTCCGACCAGCAGGCCCCACTGCAATGTGGGAGGTGGGGGAGGCTGGGCAGAGGGGTGGCCCTTTGGGGGAGGAGAGGGCCGTGGGCGCTAGGTGAAGGGAAGGCTTAGGGGGCAGGGAGGCAAGGGGGTTGGAAAGATTTGGAACCAAGAGAAAAAGGCAGACAAAGAAACTTTCAATCAAACTCAAAATCCCCACCGGCCACCCAATGGTGCTTTTGTGCAGGGACATGAAAGGGTCTGGGGGCTTGGGGAAGGGCCGGTTGGGGAGGGCGTGACTGGCCTTGAGTAATGAGCCTGGCCCCCCGGCCCTCTGTCTCCCCTGACAGGCCTCCACGTCCTGAGCTGCAGGAACAATCCCCTGATTATCCCTGTGGTCCATGACCTCAGCCAGCCCTTCTACCACAGCCAGGCGGTGCGAGTGAGCTTCAGCTCACCCCTGCTCGCCATCTCGGGGGTGGCCCTCCGCTCCTTCGACGGCTTTGACCCTGTCACCCTGAGCAGCTGCCAGAGAGGGGAGACCTACAGCTCTGCTGAGCAGAGGTAAGGCACCCCGGGTCTGCCCACCCTGCCATTGCGTAGCCAAGTGGAGATGGAGGAATTCTGGAATGGGGTGGCCGTATGTATTGCCATAAAAATCTCTGTGCATCTCCCTCCTCCATCTCGTGGGCTCTGGGCAGCACTGCCTCTGGGCCTGGCGTCCAGGGGTGGGGAGGTCTGTAGACTGGGTGGTGGAAAGAGGGCCTCCTTTGCTGGCGTGCAGTCCCAGTGGCTTGCAGGGGGACCCTGGGACATCGCTTTCTCTCTCTGGGCCTCAACATCCTCATTTGAACAGAGAGAGGGTGGTGGTTCGCTGGCTTTCAGCTCTGAAGTGCTGGAATATCCTGCTCCCTGAGTAGCACAGACAGGAAGCATAACTCTCTGAAATTTAGGGGGGAGAGGAGGACTTATTTGTCTCATCCCAGTTCGCTGCGTATTTCAGTGACAGTTGAACTCTGTCTTCTCTAAGCCGGGCTCCTGAGATCCCTCCAGTGGTCTAGGAGCCTGTCTCTGAGCTGCATAACATCACCCCCTCGGTGCCTTTGACCTGGCGTCTCTGTTCTTGAACCTGGTTTAGGGCTAAGAGGGAAAGGTGTTTCCTGGACACCTTGTGGTGATCTTCTTACTGGATCTGAATCTACCCTTCCTGACTGTGTGTCTACATATAAGTCGCTTTGCTTTTCTAAGTCGCAGTTTTCTGTTTTGGAGTAAACAGGTGATAACATCTACCCCATAGGGTGGTCGTGAGGGTCAAACAGTGTGCTGTAGGTGAAGGTGTTCTTGCAAATTGCTAGGCACCATGCAAAGCTTATGCATTAATAAAGGACATTTATCTCCCTGTGACAGTGGTGCTTTTCAGCTCAGAACCTGCATAGAATCCTCAGAGGAGGGCAGAAGGAGCCTCAGAGATGGTCTAGCACGTAGAGGTGTCCGCACTTCTGTACCGTCTAGAATTCCAGGGTCCCAAGAGGAGAAGGACTGGTCCAGAGTCACACAGCATCACTCATGTTTGTTCAGTGAGATCCAGAAGGAGAAAGAGAGAGTTGGGGTCTCAGTAGGCTCCCCCAGAGTGAGGCCCTCTGAAGGGCGATGCAGCCCTACCCTGTGTACCTGGGAGCGAGGAGCGGAAATAGGGGTGGGAGGGTGACAGGGGCCTTTCCCACGGCCCTGCTGCTGCAGAGGACACAGAAGGTGGTTGCAACACCCACAGTGCTCTGCACCCACTGTCTTGTGCAAAGTCTGTTGCAATCCTTCAGAGGCCAAAAAGCTCCTTAAATATCACTCATTGTTACATTTCACCCTGAGAGGGCTTTTTCCTCCCAGGCTCCCCAGACTATAAAAATGAGTTAATTCTCAGAACTCAGAGAAACATTGCGGATGGAAAATGCAAATCCATCACCTCGGCCACAATGCTCTCCATCGTCACCCAGACTCCGCACTGCCCGCAAGTGCACTGAGGCCGGCACTGACGACTTTGAGTTCTTAATTGGCAGGTCCTGTGCCCCAAGTAAACAGTAGGGAGAGTTTAACCTTGGAAACAAGTCAACTGATAAGTGCCTGTTGGATCCTCTGACTTGTGGGGGGACATCGAACTTGGGCAAAGCGTTCTGTCTCTGTCTGGTTAAGTGACCTTAAACCAGTCACCCCTTCTTTCTGGACCTCAGTTTCCCCATCTGCAAAATGATAATGGGTTGGATGTTCTCTGTGGTTCTTTCCCATTCTAAAAGTCTGTGGTTTCCAAGAGCTGGGAGGGGCGAGAGGGAAGAGGGAGGGACTGACACTTATGATTGTATTATCTTATTTCACTATCACCTCTGTCCTGGGAGGTGTGGAGGCAGTGAGGGAGTCAAGGCCATCAAGGCGATCAGAGGCCAAACCCTGCTTTGTCTGCCCCTAAAAGCCACTCTGCCCACCGGAGCCAGGAACACCTGTGGGAGAGGAGAGGACTTTTCACAGCCGCTCACCTGCGAGCATTTGGACAGTGAGCCAGTCAGGTGCTGAGGACACAGCTCTGAGGGCTCTGCCGGCTTGCCTGGGATGGGACCGGGTTGGGGCAGGCAGAGCGCCCAGGACTGAGGCCTGGGGGATGCAGGGCCCTCCTGAATGCCTGGCTGGGGTGTGGGAGGACAGGCAGGACTGTGCAAATGTGCAAATGCGCAAATGCATTCAAACAAACAAACGAGGAGGAAAGAAAAGAAAAATAAGCAACAACTGGAAAAAGCCATGGGGTGGTTTCCTGCATTCTGAAAGCACCAAGGTAAATAGCATCAGTTTTTATAGATTTCAGCTTGTGGAACACACGTCCCACTTTACTCCAGGCTCTCCCCAGGTGGAGAAAGGTGCTGTTTCTCCCGCCCCTCCCTACACCCAGCTCTACCACCCCTCCCCCTCCCCCTCCTCCTTCTCCCCATCTGCTTTTTCTTGCTTTCTCTCCTTGCTCCCCCTCCTCTCCGTCTCCCTCCCCTCTACCCTCTCTCCCCCTCTTTTTCCTCCTCATTTGCTTTCTCTTCCCCTGAGAGCAGCATGATACCTAGTGGGCTGCCTCTGGAGCAGCATCATACTCCACATCGATTCAGGTGCTGTGTTCTGACTGAGACTCGGGGGTCCTCCCCAGCCCCCGCGCAGTCCTAGGAATAAATGCAGGGGTCCAAGAAAACAGGATCGGGTTTCAAAGGAGAGGTCCAGTTGTGGAATTCTGGCCAAACCCCAGCTCCACACAGAGTTAGGGGAAGGGGGTAAGATGGGGGGTTGCATAGTGATCATGGTGGGGGATTTCAAGAGGCCTTTTCAATGAGAAAAGCAACAATCATGAATTCAGGCTCTAGTCTCTCTCTCTCTCTCTCTCTCTCTCTCTCACACACACACACACACACACACACACCGCCTCTATCCTATGGCTTTAAGTAGATTGAGCAGTTTATTATAAAATTCAGTGGGTCATTTATGTAGACAAGTAACTTTCTTCCCTCCCTTCTTTCCCTCCTCCATTCCTCCTTCCTTCCCTCCCTCCCTCCCTCTCTTCCTTCCTCCTTCCTTTCTTTCTTCCTAACCTTTTTTTTTAATCCTCACCTGAGAATATTTTTCCATTGATTTTTAGAGAG